ATAAGAATTAAATTATAAAATTTAAGAATTTTCATCAGACAGTTTGTCACCCAGAAATTCATGGCTTTTGACACTTGCAATTAACTATCGAGGTTATTAACAAGCAAGCTTCAATACAAAACAATAAAAAAAAAAACAACAAAAATCAATACAATAGAAATCTTTAAATCAATAAAAAAAGATAAAGATTTTTTTAACATTTCATTTCATTTAATTTTGATATTCGATGATGAATTTTCCTATTTTACTATTAGATGAATTTTCTTATAATTACAAATTATAATAATGAACCAATGAACCTGAAAGAATTAATTTTGACCCTTGCATCCGGTTTCTGTCTTTCAACGTTGGAAAATCAACGCACGGTGGCGCCGATAAATAATAAACAAAGTTATTACAGCTGTAAGTGCGGGGAAGTTCTTCGAATGTAATTCAAATGTATGCGTGATAGCTGGCTGGTTTAGAGTAGGATAATAATGTTAGGGGATGTGCGTGTTCGTAGGTGTGTGGGAGGGGTTGAATAAGTTCTTAAGGGCGGTCTGTGCGTTGCGAGAGTTCAGCGGGGTTTAGAGCGCGGAGAGAAAATTTAAAGCTAAGTTTTAGGGGTAGAGTTGAACCAGTATCCAGTCAGTTTATGTTTGAGGTTACATGGGGGGCACCCCAAAATATTTCAGCTAACTCCGATGCTTAGAAATCAATATTTTTAGTCAAGAATTCATTGGTATCAAAAGTATATTTCATAAAGTATAAAAGTATATTTCAACTAATTTTGATGCTTGGAAATCAATATTTTTAGTCAAGAATTCATTGGTATCAAAAGTATATTTCATAAAAAAGAGCAACACTCATCTCGTGTTCTTTAAAGTAGCATCACACTTTTAAGCTTTGTAAAAAAATTAATTTAATTCTTCTTCTTTTATGAACGAATAAAAAGTGGTTTATTTTATAATTCTGTTTTTAAAAATACTTGGTACTCATATGAAATAACTTAAGTAAATGTAATAACGTGATATAAGCTAGATCAAGAATATAAATTTGTGATCAATGGAGGCCATGGAAGACCTCAGTGTGCATGAGAAATATCAGTGTTGGTTAAGACCAAATTTTTTTTAACTATCTCATTTTTAAAACTTCGTTGATTCAGCTTGCAAGAACTTCTTGAGCAAATCCTCATCTTAAAGTAGATTTTGAAGTGGAAAGTTACAAATCCACAGATATACTTTTGTAAATTGATCTATTAGAGCAGTGGGAATAGGAAGTCTTTTTGGCATTCGTATGAATGTAATTAAAAAATTATTGTACTGTTTACTTTATGGAGACTATGTTAAATGCAAGAAATCGGTTAGAACGTCAAAGGAGTAATATGATTCATTCTGGCCTCGGTCTACCAATTAAGGTTTAACCTGTTGCATCGCAACAGTAAAGTCATAAAGCGAACGGATATAGCTGTTCATGTTTTAGAAATTAGAATTCTCGTTTATAGCTCTGTGCCATGAAGGTGGCGCATTGGACACCAATTTTCTAACCTTACGTGCACGTTTCTTCGGATCCGTGTGTATCGTGACTTCGCAGCCAGCCGTATCATTTCAAACGAACATACGAAACTTTCGTCCTAGTTAGCGTAATCTGCACCATAATCGGTTATGCACTTCACGGTGAACCACCAAACGGGGCCACTTTATTCTTATCGAACTGAACACTTTCGACGAATCGAATACATACATCTCACATAGAATGGGAGAGATTTAAAAAAATTCAAAAAATAAATATTTATATTGTTTCATTTGAGAATTATTTAACATGTCAAATCCTCTTTAACACGTTCACTGCCAGATTAAAACCGTGTAATATTCTGCAAAAGTAACATTTTTATTCTGGACCATTGTTAGCTACATAACCTAAAATTTGTTTCATTTCTAACTTTTGTAACTTTCTTAAAATTCATAACTTCTAAAATTTATTTCAGTACTAACTTTTGTAACTTTCTTAAAATTCATAACTTCTAAAATTTATTTCAGTACTAACTTTTGTAACTTTCTTAAAATTCATAACTTCTAAAATTTATTTCAGTAGTAACTTTTGTAACTTTCTTAAAATTCATAATTTCTATCCAAATTTATTTTTCTCAACTTCTTAACTTAAGAATTCATTTTTCGTCGTCCTCGTTCGTCATCGTTCTTACACGATTAATTAACGATACATCTCATCAAACACTGATTTAAAAATAAAAACCAGGACAGTGCTTTCGAATTATAATACTTCGAAAGTCATTGAACTTTAAGAGTTAAAATTTTACAGGGATTGCTATTTTATTTGTTAGAATCGTAGTGATAGGTGAGCAGAGAGATATTTTGAGATTAAAAAGAAGAAGAATCGTTCTACTGTACACGGTTACTCGAATGGACGATTGAGCTAAACGTAAGCAGTGGTGGGGATGATTTCGTTGCAAGTATCCGGGTCACAGATTGACGCTTTAAGCGAGACACTACTGTACTTCGCGAGTTCCGATTATTCTTCAATAAATAAACTTCACTAATTGTGATTTCTGTGCATAATGGTGCTTCACAATTTAGGAAAACACTATATTTCAATAAAATAATGACATTAAAATAATTATGTGCATAAAAATGCATTTGGGTTTAAATTTTTCTTCAGGCAATAATTGTAGCATTCGTGTATGATAAATCAAGAATTTTGTTGATAATATATACGGTGTTTTGGACAGATTCTGGGGGCCAAAATAAGTCGAAAATCAAGAATATCAATTTCTTGATTGAGGCTTCGTTAGAAAGTTATCGAAAATTAAATTACAGAATTTCTAATCATTCTGAAAAAATTATTTTTAGTTTCAGGGGTCAATTATAATCATTTTTTATAAATAGACATTCCCTCGAAATCCTATCCACTTTCGAGAAAAAAATTCGAATAGATAGACAAATTTTTCGTCGAAATTAAAAAGTTTCAAATCATTGTAAAAAAATTATTTTCGGTTAGGAGGGTCAATTACAATAATTTTTGGTGAATAGACATATCATCGAAATCTTAACCAGTTTCGAGAAAAAAATTCCTCACCGAAAATACAATGTCTGACCATATATTGATACGTTTCACTGAAATTTCATGCGAATCTTTAAAACGTCATAACTTCTGAACGGATTGGCCGATTTTAATGTTTAAAACGGCAAACAACGCGTATTTTAGTGGAGAATATGTAGAAATTCCAAAAATATTCAAAAAGTTGTTCCATCATCCCGTATAGAGAGAAAACCCCCATAAAAATGGTCTAATTTTCAAACAGCCATAACTCCTACAATAGTGAATATATTTCGATGAAACTTTTTTCTGAAGTAGAGCTCATAAATAGCTACAAAAAAGTATTAAACAACTTTTCTGTACAGCGTCAAACAAACTTATTAAAAATGAAAAACGAATTTTTAAGAAAAATCGACAAGGAGTTAATGCCTAAATTTCTCGGCGAAAAGAAAAATTTCGAATCGTTCTAAAAAAATTATTTCTAGGTTCTGGGGTCAGATACAATCATTTTTGGTGAATACATATACCCCCGAAATCTTACGCACTTTCGAGAAAAAAATTCAAGAAGGTGCCTAAATTTTTCGACGAAAAAAAAAAAATTTCATATCGTTCTGGAAAAAATATTTTCAGTTGTAGGGGTCAATTACAAGCATTTTTGGTCAAATGACGTAACCCCGAAATCCTACGGACTTTCGAGAAAAAATCGTAACTCTTGAACCGATTGTAGGATTTCAATGATTCAAAATTTAAAGAATGTAATTAATTTGAATGAATTAACAAAAAATACATTGAATGTGTACAACTTTTTAATGAAGCCTCGATCATCAAATTGGTACTCTCGATTTTCGTTTTATTTTGGCCTCGATGCAAAGAATTTTAATCGTCACAAAACTTCTACATTTGCCACTAAGACTATTCTAGAATGGAGTGATCTATTATGAAAATATAGTTAAGTGATTTTTCCAAATTTGACACTTAGTTTTCCTTGAAATTAACTGGTCAAAAACAGCTATCATACAAATTATCATACAAGAGTCGTTCAATAAGTCCTTGGAAGATCCAAGACCAACCAAGATCCTTGTAGCATCAAAAATGGTCTTTTTAATAAGGATCATGACTCACTAGACAACTGTCAAAGTGTCAGTTATATCCACCACATGGTTTCGATGGCCAAAATCATGGAATTAAAGTTCGAATTATTACAACATCCACCATATTCACCAGATTTGGCCTCCAAGTGACTTCTTTTTATTTCCAAATTTTAAAAAATGGCTCGGTGGACAACGATTCACGTCGAACGAGGAGGTCATCTACCTAACAGATGCCTATTCTGAAGAACCACCGAAATCTTACTGTTCAGATGGCTTAAAAAAGTTGGAGAAATGCTTAGAAGAGTTTACAGAGCTAAATGGAGATTATGTTAAAAAATAAAAAAGAAATCTACCCAAAATAATTAGTATTTCTCCCTTTTTCCGAGGACCTATCGAACGACCCCCAAGCCAGTAAAATATCATTAATAGACTGCGGATCTTTATGCAAATTTCTAGAGCTTTCTCAACCCCTAAATATAATAATTCGTATCTTACTTGAAACATTTCTAATATTTTTGCATACCAAGTGCATTCTGTAGTTGTTTGAGAGTTAAAATGTCTCATAAATGCATAGACATCCGCAGTCTAATCATTAAAATCGATGAGTGGAGCTATCCTATCGAAAGCGACTGGCAGTTATCCGGGTGACACTGTATTACGAGAACAGTGTGGCCTCTCGCGAGACGAGGAATTCGAATGCTCATGCAGCAACGATTCTCCCGTCGCTCGTAACCGAAAATTCGTCGCTCGTAACTCGGCCGCGTAGCCAAGGAAGCGGTAACGACCGTGGCGAGGAAGTGACAACAATCACGCGCAACTGGACACACAGATGAACGAGGAAAGGAAGGGCGGTGAGGGGGGTGTGGAAACACTTACGACACAGAGCTCTGTACCGCGAGCTACGGTTGGTCCCTGGCGGACAAAGAGCTGGCACACCGTCTTCGTAGAGTTCCCTCGGTGTCTTCCGATCGAGAGGCCCGTAATTGCACACGAGGGTCTCGACTCGATCCTCGATCCCGCCGGGTATTGTATGCACGATCGTCGGGAACTCGCCCCGATTCGTCGGTTCGTCTAGCCTGGCCGTGTAAATTGCACGGCCGCAGCCGACTTGGCTAATTGTCGCCGAGGCGAACGCTATGTACGACAGGTTGCCCCGAGCTGTGAAGTTCACCAATCTGAAACAGACAATCGTGGACACGTGAGTGTCCATTTCAGATTTTCCCTTCTCGCGTTACTGCGTTTGGGAACTGACTGAAAGAAAAAAAATGGAAGTATATGTTTTATAAATCCTCGTGTGTTATCGCCTTTCTCTACTTTCTATGACATTCAATCACCTTGTGTAATAGGTCGTTGAACTCGTTTTAAGATCCTCAAATCTTCATCTAAAAACATACCGATCCATTTAAAAAAATTGACGTGACCTTCAAATGTCTGTAGTACCTCCATCTGCAAGAAAATTATTATCGCCACCGAATAGCGCCCTTCGTACTGTGCAATTTACTTTGGCAAATATTTCTGTGAGACTTATAGTTTCGAAGATATCTAAAGTACTAATAGTTACCACCCTGTATATAAAAAAGAAACATAAATTTTATCAACGATCATTTTTACTGAATTTGCCAGAATTCCAGAGATTTATTGCAATTTTCGGTGCATTTTTTTGTGCACTTTCCATTTCAATATTTCATTTTGTAATGTTATGTTTAGCACTATAGTATCTTTTAGAGAGCAAAATAATTTTTTTATAATATTTATAATTTCTATCAATTTTTTTTTCATGTTAAATGTTTATCAGTTTTGAATTGAGTTTAGATAGAAATACCTTCGTGATTTTCTGAATATTAATTTGGGGAATGTTTACCGTTTAATTTAAGGCAAATTTTAGCTACTCGAATTTGCTTATTAAGACGTAAAAATTGATATAACGAACAATGTTTTTTTTTTAATATATTCAAGAGATGGTTCTGGGTTAGGTCTGGGTTAGGTCTGGGTTAGGTCTAGGTTAGGTCTGGGTTAGATCTGCGTGTTCCTATGTCTGGGTTAGGTCTGGGTTAGGTCTAGATTAGATCTAGGTTAGGTCTGAATTAGGTCTGGATTAGGTCTGGGTTAGGTCTGGGTTAGGTCTGGATTAGGTCTGGGTTAGGTCTGGGTTAGGTCTGCGTGTTCCTATGTCTGGATTAGGTCTGGGTTAGGTCTAGAGTAGGTCTAGGTTAGGTCTAGATTAGGTCTAGATTAGGTCTAGGTTAGGTCTGGATTAGGTCTAGGTTAGGTCTGGGTTAGGTCTGGGTTAGGTCTGCGTGTTCCTATGTCTGGATTAGGTCTGGGTTAGGTCTAGATTAGGTCTAGGTTAGGTCTGGATTAGGTCTAGATTAGGTTTAGGTTAGGTCTGGGTTAGGTCTGGGTTAGGTCTAGGTTAGGTCTGGGTTAGGTCTGCGTGTTCCTATGTCTGGGTTAGGTCTGGGTTAGGTCTAGATTAGATCTAGGTTAGGTCTGGGTTAGGTCTGGGTTAGGTCTGAGTTATTATATTAAAATAATAACTTAAATTAAATAAAAATACCTCCGTGATTTTCTGAATATTAATTTAGGGTATATTCACCCTTCAATTTAAATCAAATTTTAGCTACTCAAATTTGCTTATTGAGACGTAAAAATTGATATAACGAACAATGTTTTCATAAATATATTCAAGAGATGGTTCTGGGTTAGGTCTGAGTTATTATATTAAAATAATAACTTAAATTAAATAAAAATACCTCCGTGATTTTCTGAATATTAATTTAGGGTATATTTACCCTTCAATTTAAGGCAAATTTTAGCTACTCGAATTTGCTTATTAAGACGTAGAAATTGATATAACGAAGAATGTTTTTTTTAATATATTCAAGAGATGATTCTGGGTTAGGTCTGGATTATTATATTTTATTTTTTAAATTTAAGAAAAAATGTTACGTAGATTATGGAATGTTAAGTTTTCTACTCAAATTATCACTACGATATTTCATTATTACGCTAAATCAAAAAGAATAAATTCAGTCAGTAATCAGTTGACAAGAAACTGCAACAGTAAAAATTAGCAAAACATTTTTCATTCGATAAAATATCAAGGTCACTTGAATTTTTTTAATGAAAAGAAAATAGTATTTTTAAAGATTGATGAATCTTTGTATTCTCTTCACAAAAGTATTAGAATTCTCAGATAAAAAATTAATAAATTTTAAAATTATGATTTTTATTTGTAATTTTCATATGATTGATGCATACTGCCAGTTATAAGAATTAATATATTTGATCTAGGGATTCTTTAACGTTGAGAATAGTTCCCCAAAGATGAACATTTATGAAAAAATTTGAAAAATATTTTAACCTAAAAACTAATTTTTGATTATTTGTAATCGACAACTAGTAACATTTTCGTTATAGGCATTGAACGAGAAAACGTACGGAAACTCTTCGAGTGCTATCGTTTTAGGATCAATAGATTTGTTAGAAAGTGGAGCCTACAACTTTAGCCCAGTTCTCTTCTGAAAGCTTTCGTCCAGATTGCGTCTTCTTGTAAGATAGAGAGATATTGTACAATGTTTGGAGCTATTCAAAAATCTTGAAAAGAGATATCGAGAATGTTTCGACTCGAGTCTACTTATTTATAATGATTTCAATTATTTTGGGGGGGCCTCAAATCAGCATACACACTGGTTCATTTACACAAATTTTATTTTAAACAATTTAAAAATATTTAAACATGTTTCGAATGTTTTTCTTTTCGTTCATCAACAGTAAAATTACCCACTATTAACAAAAATGTTTTAAATCATTTTTATTCCGTTCTTCTAGTAGGCTACAAACGTAACATTTAAATAAAATGATTTCAAAGCAGTGCTTGGAACAACACTCCTGAATATTGATTCATAGTACGTTGTAGCCTAAATGGGGGACGTTAAACCGACCTTATATTTTTTCGACACAATTGGTTACCTGTTTTCAGAGAAAATAGGGTCTCAGTGGACGTTGGACGATAAGTGACGCTCAGAAACAATAACCGTTTCGAGTGTTACGATAGCAATACGCATAAAGCTTGATGAATCGATTCCCACACTTAACGTCTCTCGAGGACGTGTTGTCACAGACGCCATTTTCAAATATTAGGCTTAGAGGAGAAGAATCTGTCGTGCAGACCAATTGATAGAGCGATCCTTGGACACATAAAGAGTCTTGGCCAAAACAATGTATATTTGGCACAATAATATTCGTCATCTATTCTTCACGAATACTAATCTGCTCTCAGCAATCGGAAAAACGCTATAAATCTGTTCCTGTTGACACCAGGAAAAATCGTGTACAGAGAATTAGGGGAATATTTATTTAAATAAATGAGTTTCTGATTTTTGGTATACATTAGTTTCTTCATAAAAGAAAAAGAAAAATAAAAAAATTAAAATTATAAATATTAACGAAAAATTATATTAAATAATATATATGACGTAGGTTTCGAGAGACTTATATTACCAATTACACTTTAATTAAACAATTTAATATCAGATTTATATTGCATGTTGATTAAATAAAAAGTTACTGTACTACATGTGTCATTTTTATAGCAGACTATTTCCAAAAAGAGTCGTGTAAACTGTAGAAATATATACCAATTATTTTCACTGGTATTCGTACATTACAATGGTAGTGAACTACAAATTAAACAAACAAAATTGTTTCTTATGTAGTATGTTCTTATGTAATATCAAGTACCACGTGGTAAACCTTGAAAAACTGCTTTATTACGGGCTGCTACACGGGAGACGACCAAACTTACCAATGGCGTCCGCTCGCAGCGCCCTCACCTCGATCTACCGAACCTACGCTTCCGCTACTACGCTAGTCATGCACTATACTTCTAAAACAATATAAATACCAAAGATTATCGGTTTTGTAATTGGATAATACTTAATATTGAAGCTCGTCAATACCAAAAATAAAGAAATAAAGTACTTTACAAATAGAAGTATATAACAGTAATAAAAATATTTGATAGAAACTCTAACGGTTTTGTAATTGGAAATTACTTAATATTAAAGCTCGTTAATACCAAAAATAAAGAAATAAAGTACTTTACAAATAGAAGTATATAACAGTAATAAAAATATTTGATAGAAACTCTAACGGTTTTGTAATTGGAAATTACTTAATATTAAAGCTCGTTAATACCAAAAATAAAGAAATAAAGTACTTTGTGAATAGAAGTATGCAACAGTGATAAAAATATTTGGTAAAAACGAATGGAAAAGTATCATAAGAAGCACCCAGTAGTTTCATTTCGTTTATAATACACCATTGTAGTGTAGGAATACGAGAGTGGGAGTGACTGGTATATAATGGTTGACGTTTGATAGAGAGAAGATCAACAACGAAAGAGTTAATTGAAATATTGTAAAAAGGAAGAATTGGACGGTCGTCGATCGAGTCGCGACAATCAAAGGGGGTTTATTGGATTATATTACGCGAGTAGACGAGCTTCCGGAGCAAAGCAATCTACAAAGCGTTTACGTACAATGGCAGTCGAAATTTTCAATCCACTAAGAGAATATAGGATTTTCGTTGTCACGGAACTTCGGCACAATCGCTCTTTTGTTATTTCCCGAAGCAGTCGGATCGCTTTGTTGACACGTGTCTGTCGCGCGGATGGATCGCCCGAGACAGAGAGAAAAGTTAAAGAAAAGAGACGCGGGTGGAAAGGGAAAGGGAAAGGGATAGTGGCAAACCTCACCCTAAATTCTGAGGTGAGTTAGCAGTGTCTACACACGACAGATCGAACAGTCCTATTCACAAAGTGAAAGCCTTCCCACATAAGAGTCGTTTCGATCAATTCAACTTAGGGTATTGCATGCTGCACGGAATTACAATACGCGTTCGACTGAAGATCTTGTACCTTTCAACTACCTTCGAACTGTTTCTGTTTATTGATGGTCCTTTATAATCAAATGGAATTGGGAAATCCACTCTCAACTCGTAAAATATGATCCAAATTCCCTTTTCACTAATCATTACAAACTTAATATTTCAGTCATTTTTTTGTTATTAATATGTGTCAAATACCTATATCTGTCTCCTACAGGCCAAAAGAAAAAAAATATTATATAAAATTTGTTACAAAATTACAAATTAAAAAAATTTCTTTTTTACA